CAAAGCTCAAAGAATATGGATTTGCGGGAGATGGTGACTTGTATTTTTACAGTTTTATCTTTATAATTTTACCTTTTCCAGTAAACTAAATAGCACTGGCACATGGTCATCTACAACATCAAACTAGTCCTGCATGTTTCGTCCCCTGCTCCCACTGGGCTGCCTCCTCAGTACCCTTCAGGAGTTACTGTGTGTAACTGCAACAGGCAGTCACTGAAGGAAGCAGAGGTTTTGCTAGCAAAGACGTGGGCGTTTCTATGCTTTTTGGTGGTTCCAATGTCTAGGAAACATCCCTGAGCATATTTAATTTACTAGTAGAGATACAGCTCCATTTCCTGAACAAGCAGGCTTTGCTTTTTGTCATCATGCCTTCAAGAAAGGGCTACATGAGGCCATTACTCTAGGGCTCTGGGCAACAGGTTTGCTGGAAGAGTGTAGACTGAAGTGAAAAAGTATCACAACATTCATCAGCCCAAGACTTCAAACGTGGTTATAGTATTCTCTGGTCACCATATATCTGTTGGACGTATACACAATAGCATACACCTAGGTGTGCAGCAAGTAACGGACCTAATAATTGCATCATTCTTTAATGGAGAAAAAAAATGCTACAGATTAAGAGATTTTTTTCTATAGCTTCTGCACCCTTCATCATACAACTTATCTATAGCTGTTCAGCTTTGTTGAATTATTTATTTTGGTTTTTTGTTTTTAAAAAAGACTGGGTTCTTCTAGTTCATCTAATTCCATTTTTTTTTACTGTTTCAATCAATTGAAACAAAAAAATAAATTCAAAGTCTTTTTTTTCCTTTTTTTTCGATCTGAGATTAACTTAGATGACAAAATATAGTCAAAATATGGACACAAAATGTATCTTCCTCCATTACTTCAGAAAGAACAGTTTAGGCAGATTTTTACCCCCATGTTCTTGATTCCAATTCAACAGAAAAGACACCTAGAAACACAGACCTCCACACAGTCTTGTATGCCCAGCAGCTATGGAAAACTGCATTTGTATGTTGAAGTAATTATTTGATTCCCTGTATGTATGCATACACATATGTTGTTCAACCATTTCTAATTCTGAGTCCCTGTAAAATGGGAAGAGCAATCTCACATAGCATTTTTGCTCAGCGAGGGGAAGCAGAGAGCAGAAGCACACCCATGACAGCAGTGGGCTCCAGTGGAAGCTCCATACCAATGCCATACCAGACTCCACAAAAGCACAAGGTAGTTTGGTATCCAAGCTACACTTTAAGCAAGTGTACCATACCATGCTTTCACCCCTGTTTCTGGGAGAAAATGCTAATTGAGAAAGAGAATTGAGAAAGAGGTGGTGCAATCACACTCTTGTTCCTTTCCATCCCCTTCAAACAGGCTTACCTCAGTGACTTCACCGTCCTCTCTCTTTTCTTGATCTGTACTCAGTGAAAACCACTGAGAGGTAAGTGTGTTGTAACAGCAGAGAACATAACTGCACTATAGATATTGCTATCAAAATCCAGCCCCCACTCAGATACAGGATCATAGCAGCCCTTTTCAAATCCTTAGGATCCAGATTTTCACTATCATCTTTTTTTGTAGGTACTGGAATCTGCAAATACTTGTGAGCAGAAAAGCTTAGCTGCAATTTCCAAGTGCAAAAATGAATCTCAGGGAAAGACAGGAAAAGAAAATGCTTGGGTTTTTTACTGTTATGCTTTAGAACCTGTTAAGTTTTACCTTCCCCTCCCACCCCCTGTCTTGCAGCCCTCCGTCCATAACCCTGAGCGCTAGTTTTTCCAGAATTCTTGCTGCAACTTATACAACAGCTCTGGAACACACCTCATGATCTGCTGTGGTAGAGCTATGAGTTCATACAATTTTATCACCGTGGTTGACATCATAATGAAAAACCTCAGTTCTAAATCAGATCTAAATCTGATAAAAGATTTTAAGTGGCATATTAACAACAGAAGATATTTCTTTAAAATTGCACACAATTGAAAAACTTAATCATGTTAAACAGCTGAAAGGCTGTGAAGTAAACTCCTTCAAAAGTCAGGAAATAGCTATTTGTATCCAAATTGGGGAGAATTGCTATTAAGAAAATGTATATAGTAGCAAGTGTGTACTTCCCTGAAGCGTATACAACTTCCTTAATCTGTGTATACATCTTTGTAACAAGGCAAAGATTGATCAGAGATCAGAGGAGGAGTTACTGCTGGACCTGCTTGTGACGCTGGCAACTTTCCTAAAAAATGAGTTTCTGCAAATTCCTGGGATTTTTATATTGTCAACATCTTA